TTAAGCCGATAGAACTCAGATTTATCGCAGGCGTTCTTTGCTGTTTTAGTGGTTGTAAATTTCTGTATTTTTTGTTGTTGTTGTTGTTGTTGTGACCCATTAGAAACTGGTATTTGTTGAAGCTATTTGTTCCGGAAATATACATGGGATAAGCTTCTTTTATGTTTTATAATTGTTATAATTCGCGGATCTTGATTGTCCTTGCCAAAGGTAAAACCAAGTATGTGACGGAAATAAAAACCATCATTGCATGACAAAAACCATTTGTTAGTTCGGTAGACAAACTATGAAAATGTTTCTTCAACTTAACATTTTTAGAAGCGTTGTATTCGTCTGTGTTAGCCATCTTCCTTATCTGGTTTAGATAACATTGTGTGTAAGAATTTCTTAGTTTGAACCCTTTTCCAGCTGACAGCTTGCAGGTGGTTATCTACTGCTGTTGTGCGTGCTGCTTTTTTGCCCCAGTTCTGTGACTTAAATTGGCTGTTTGTATCGCGTCGCTTCATTCAGGCACTTACCGACGTTTTTATTTCTCGACCAACTGCTAGCTCGAATATTGTAGCTTGAAATGAGTTCTCCAGTCCATTTTCCTTGATTTATGTATGGCTATTTATTCTCCTTCTTCTTCCTCCTTTTACGTTTTTTTTAAATGTTTGTGTTCCTCTCGTTATGTGTTGTGTGCGTATTATAGTAATATTCATATTTCTACACACTCTCCGAGTTTCTTGATTCGTTTTAGCTCTTATTTTATGAGGAAATGTAGATCATGGCATCACGTGCGCACATCCTGCTTGTCGCTTACCATCATTATACCAACATGGCGGCTGTGAGAATGTATCTGAGAGGAAACGACGCTGGTGCCACGTAATGTGTGGCTCTGAAATGTGATTTGGTTTTAGTTCTATAAAATATATAACTTTTGTGCAATGTAAAACAATGACATACAGTGCGTTCACTGACGAAGTTGAACGCAACTGTTACTTCCCGGGTTCCGGTTGGAACTGCTTTTACTCACCGCCAAGCGTTACAAAGGTTTCCCGGTATGAGACATGTATCGCTTTACAGAAACAATAACATCGTCTCTTTTATAGCAGATGCAGAATAACTGGCTTTTCGTTTAATAGCTTTTCCAGCGGAAATGGAAAGTGTATGGAAAATTGATCTTAAACGTACCTACACTTCTTAGTGAAGAATTTTTTTTATTTATTGATGACAGTGTTGTGATACTTTGGGATTGTCTCACGAACTTAATATAATAGAGATTTGCTATTCTTGGGAACTGTACATACAAACTGATTAAAAAAATGATGCTCTAATTGTAAATCGAACATTTCGATAGAAAGAGCATCATTTTAATATATTTTAATATATTTTAAATGTTTTAAATATTAAATGTTAATTGTAATAATAATATTTTAATATTTAATAAAATATTTTATTGTGATTAGACGGTTAAAATTAAACAATTAAACAAACTGATTAAAATTGTTTTTATAATTGCTAATTTATAGTTAGTTGATGCCTAATGATACTGACTGAACTATTTTAAGGAATTTCAGTATTGCAAGTTCTTCCACGAACTTCTTGCTGGTGAAACTGTCTACAGACGTAGTAACGGCGCGAGGTTGTTTGACAACCATCGGATAATGTTAATTTGCGTTGACTGAATCTGTGCACAGATACAACAAGTGTATTGCATAATGGTCGAGTTTATTATTTTATTATACCGTAACGTCAGCATATCAACTGCTTTGTCTAGATACAACACGTTCAGTCTGAGATATTTAACTTGTGTCTGCAATTTTAGGAATGTAATCGTGACTTTTTGCATGTCATCTTCACATGTATGGAATGTTTTAACTCGCTATAAAATAAGTTTTTATTCGATGAACACTGAAATGCAATCGAAATAGATGTTTGTGTTTCGTTACTGAAGGCTGCTTTAAAATGTAAATATTTTATCAGTAATGTGTAGCATGAGTTAACTATGGAAGAAACTAACACATCAGACCCGTTTTAACTTTGTGTAACTTGTTGGTGTTTTATCCACTTTTGTTACACGTGAATTTTTTGTGCTGCAACGTAAGTCATCAGATTATTCCGGCTGAACTGCCTTTTGTAATAACGTATTAAAGATACTGGCTCCCAACTTGGAGAATGCTTTTAATCCGTTTGAGACCCTGTGATCAGGCGTCACGTACTTTTATGTTTAGCAGCTCTGAATTTTGACCATAGTGTTAATATGTTTTATATGATTCCCAGAATAAACGTCGATTTAGCCAGATTACCTTTCTCATGGACATGTTGTGTTTTCTTTGCGGTAGGGATTGAATGTTTAAGTAGCAAAGCACAGGGAAGATGGGATCTGTGTGCAGAATGTTAGTAGGGATTTCTGAGGGGGTGATATCACTTGAGAACCCTGGGCTTAGATGGAAATAGTTTGTAACGGTGTGGACTGGATTCATTAGTGGAGTCTTGTGATAATTAACCTTTGGGGCCCTTAAAACTTTCTGACCAGCTTAACGCCTGTCAGCTTCTCCAGTGCTGTTACCCCGTGTAAACAGTTAGATAATGTAATAATGATACTTTAATGTCTAATAAGATTGAAATGTGAAATGTTGTTTCACGTTCTTGCGACATTGTTTCATTTCACAGTTTCTAATATTTTTCTGCGTTGAGGCAATGTTAATGCTGACGGAAGACGTGCTTTTTTACGAAAGCGTTAATGTGTTAGAAGATAACTCCCCAAGACTCTAGCCTGACGCGACGTATATATAGACCCTGTCTTGGCATTTACTTTATGACTGGCAAGTTATCCTTAGGTTGTAAGTTACGCTCCACCCTGACAGAAGATCGGTCGAAGGTTTCACCCATATAAAAACTAACCCCTCGCAAACAACAGCAGCAAAAAAAGACGCTTATTAGTTAGCGTTATTAACTATGAAGGAAAGAGGGCCCAAGCTTAAGCAGATATGGGGACATGTGCCACCTGCTATAAATTCAGGGTTGTCTGTTTGGAACTGGTGGAATGAATCTTCTGCATTTGTAGTCGGATTTTGTTTCAGGAGAAAGTGATTCACGGGATTTGGGGTAGACAGTGGCGTTAAAAGTTTTTCCAGAAAGTTGTATTTTATTCGTTTTTTTTACTAGCTTCTTTCGTTTCCTTCTGTCGTTTCTAGTTTGTTTCTCTTCATGTAATGTTTGCCTTACCTTTTTTCCGTCTCTCTTTGGCTCCGGTTATTATCTGCATTTGTGTGTAGCGGTACTTTCTGGCGGATAATTTAAATGTAATTGTTTTATCGCGTATTGAGTTTTGGCTTCTCTGCAGTCGAACTGTCTATAGTGTAACATTCCGGTGTGTAAAAGTTGATTCTTGTCAGTCACTTTTACACACTTTCAGTTCACAGCCAACATTTGGCAGAAATGCGTAGTTCAAAAGAGTAAACTGTGAACTGTGGAGTGTGTGAACGTGAGACAAGACTCGCCTAGAATTAGCCGAACTACACTATAATTCCTGCACAGACCTGGAATGTCGAGTATAATTAAAGCTTGGCAAGCTGGATGGAGTGAATGTTTCGCTTGTCCAGGGTCTGGTCCATCTGTTGCGTTGGGTGTGGGATGTGTGTCAGTGAGAGAGGCTGCCTGGCGCATGGGGCCGTGGGAATAAACCAGTGTACAGTCACTGGGATGGGTACCCAATAGGCATCGTCTGAATCTCTCGACTCAAGGTATTGAACACCGCATTGTTCTCTGTTCCAGTCTTGCTAGTTCTAGATCTCGATTACAAGGCTCTCCATGCCCCAGCTATTACTTTTTAAATGGCATGACAGTGGTCTCTAGCAGACTCCATCTGCATGTACAAGAGCGCGCTCTTTTCACAAAGAAGCCTCTTAACTGCAGTGCGTGATAAGTGTTGTGCGATTTTGCAAAAGTAGCTCAGAATCGGGGGATAGAGCTATGGTCAGAAAGTCCAGAAATTCTTCTTGAAATCACAGGTTCCTACGGTGGCGACTGTGAAGATGTCTTTCTTCCGCGTTCCTCCGCCGTTTCGTCTGGTAGAAGTTTACCGACGTTGCAGAGGTGTTTGACGCCCTGATAATGTATACAGAACTTCTGAAACTTCGGTAAACTTTTACCAGACAAAACGGCGCATCAACCCAGAAGACAACCATCTTAAGAAATTTTGAATTCCTTTCGATGCTTGGTTTATCTATACTTGAAATATTACTCTTAGTGTGTGAGATTTGACGTTTACACGGTGGTGAAGACGTCGATGTTCTTCAGGGTTTTGGTGCCATGTTGTCTGCTGGCAACTGGGAACGTTTGGGAGAAATATAACATATCCATCTTAAGGGCCAAAGATGGAGGCCGTATGTTTCTTCGAAACGCTGCCATTTGCCTGAAAGTCTGCACGGCCCCAAAGCTAAGAAGAATGCCATTATTATCCTTTGCAGTTTGTTCTATAAGTGCCGTTCTTCCATTTGTTTCCTGTTGCTGAGTAACTTTCGTCAGCAGTTTACCAAAATTTCTCTTTACTTTAAAGCAGCTAAAAGATAGAACCAGAAAGTCTTAGTTGGAAAGCTTGGAGGGCAGACATCAACTGAGAAGTCAGGTGTAAATTGGAGGATAATATAAAATTGGATGTTAGAAAAATTAGGTGTGTATGGACTAAATATGATTGGCTCAGTAGGACTCGTAATGAGCACCATAATAAACCTTTTATTTCAATTGGGGAATTTCTTAACTAGCTAAGTAACTATCATATTCTCAAGGAGTCTGCATTTTGGAGTTGGTTTGTTAGTCATGCACATTATTTGTTTACTTAGCAATGTGAAATTTGTGAGTTCCATGTTTACTTAGTCAGCAGTACCAAACCTGTGTCTTGCTTGTTTGGTTACTTGTAACAAACACATTTCTCGTTTACTTAATGAATATTAGTTATTTTACTTTTCTTTTTTGTTGCAGGTATGTGATGTTCTAGTTGTATTCATCTGTTACAGAATTTGGTGCAAGGTAAGCAGATTTTCAAAATATTTTTATACATATTAGGAACGAAGTTCATCATAGACATATAATAGAAATCCGTTTGTAGATTTGCCAGATGGCAAGAAATTGTTAGAAATTTTCAGAATTATTTCGAGTTCTTACATCAAAAGCCTGCCTTAGCTTTGAAATTTTACGTTATTGTCGGAACAGTATCTTTGTTGTACTGTTGTAATGTATGTAATTGATGCAGCTTGTCTGGACTTTTTGTTTGACCCCCTTTATCTGTCTCCCATTTTTAACACAAATTACAGACACATGGTTTGCATAATGAATACCAAGCAGTACAGAATGACTCAGAAGTCATGCAACCCATATAGCTTACACAAAATTCTATATAGTTTACTCTCATTATACATGGGAATTACAATCCTGTGATTAGCGGCATATATTGAAAATATGTAAAACAGAAAATGTTTAACATGCCCATGGATTTTCTGAGTAGTGCACCTTGTGAGGCCTTCCTTTGCAGTCCCCAGACTCAAAAAGTGGGGCGAATCAGTGAAACCGTATCCATGTTGTGATGTTGTTTCCTTATGCATGCGGACGCAGGATCTGCACAGATTGTTCAAGTCTGAAAAATTTGTCGTAACTTCATACAAGGCACATATTTGTACATTCCAATAACTTCACTGTCATGAACAATCCTCTTGGTTATTTGTCTTCATGTTACATTGAATATTGTTCCAGTCAAGTGTGTTCTGGCATGCAGTATTCAACTTCTTCATTCATGGTTTATTTAATGATGCTTTCAGTTGTTCAGATTATATACTGTCAGATGACAGGATGGAGATACTATCCTGGCATTAACCTGGAGAGACTGAGGAAAATCATGAAACACCTCGTGTCAGGATAGCCTGGGGTCATCCTGAATATGGAGCAGAAGTACTAACCGCACGACTGCGTCATTCAGTGGCTCTCAGTAAAGCTGTTGCATAATATAATGTTATAATTTGTGAAACACTGAAAGTTGCTCATGTAGAATCAAACAAATTTCATCATTAAATTATTTGACTGTCACCGAGCTTGTTAACTTAATTCCTCTTATTGTCCACGTGATAATTAAATTCAGTTACGTACTGGCAATGTTTTTTCATTCCTTGGGCATTTCAGAAACATGAACTGTAGTCATTTTCTTTTCCATGTTGCAGGTAGAATGGTTCTAGTCCTGAGCGGCGTGCTACAGGAGGAGGCACCGCCCGACACGCGGACCTTATTTCACAATCACCCAGTGTATAAGGACTCGGCATCACAGCTGCTTGCTATCCCAACGAAGGTGGTAGGACCTGTTGGCCTCCTCTATGTTCAGCAAAGGGAACTGGCAGTTACTATACCCCATGACAGTATGTATCAGGCATTTAAGTGTGCATTGTAAGAATCCTCATAACTTTTATGCTTGAAAAGGTCAGGCAGTTTGTGAAAATCAAGAAACAGAATGGGTACAAGTAGACGTTATAAAATTCTATTTAAAATGTGCAACAAATTGTAGGATATATATTCATGTGTCTCTGAGTTTATGTTAGCCTGACTATGTCACAGCACCTGCATGCTTATGCTTCTTAGTCAGATTGTATTATTTGGAGCCGAGCGCGAATAAGTAGACTTCATTAAGTTGATGGTGGCTTTTATTACATGGCTATTCTTACTTACACCTTCAATATGAATGTTTTGGTGGAAAGTAAGGTTATCTTATATTATAGTCCCATTAATATCTGACTGAAGTTATTCAAATGTTTTTTCAGCCAGAGTATGACATATGCTTCTTGAAGGATGTTGTGACTTTGAATGATAGAGGATGTTATGATCTATTTTAAGACTTTAATTAATTAACTTCTCATAGATGTAAGTTCACAAAAAACTTCTTTTGTTTTTGTGATTTATTGTTGTGTTTACAACTAAATTACTGAAATGCACTGTTTAGTTAGACCATATTTTTCTGTCTGCCTGTCCACAATTAATATTCAATAACTGCTGAACAGGTTTCTCCAAAATGTAATATTGGGAAATTTTCTTAAAATTTGTCAGCACCTCTCAATTGTTGTGTGTTTCGGACAATATTAACAGGCACTTTGCATGAAAATCTACACGTGGTTTTGCTCATGGTAGTGAGTAGATGGGGAATTCCTCATCCATTCACAATAGCCAAAGGTAAAATTATTGTCATCAGAATTGTTATGCTATGTATATATTTCCTAACTTGTTTGTGATAAATTTCTTTGGTAGTTCACTCATAGGTTTGATTACATGTATTTTTTCCATTGTTCCTGATCTCTTCTTTGTTCATTCAGTATTTTAAAAACTTGATGATGCATACAAATTAAACTTTTCTCCTTTACAGAAAATGTAAATATTCTTGGGTCAGATGATGCTACAACATGCATCATTGTTGTTCTCCGTCATTCAGGTAAGTGTTTAAAATATAAGTTACAGTAACTGTCATAATATGGAGTAAAACTGGGAAAATAGGCAGCAGAATTTACCATAAATCTGTCAGTGCCCCAAACATATTTATACTTATCTGAAAATCTGATTTTTTGGAACCTGTCCTTATTGAGATGAATCCAGTTCACATCCTGGTGAGACCAGTACTAGATGCTGAGGAATAAATTAATGCTGTGCATTTCATTGTGTATGTAATTGTCTTTAGTTAGTGTATCTGGCACATGTATCAGACACATTCAATTTAGCAGAAACTTTATGTAGTTACAAATTGATACACCGTAACCAACATAGTCGCATCCAGCTTCTCCTGTTGAGCATGTTTGTCTCCAGCTCCTGTCTCAGAATGCCCGTCTCTTCACTTGACAGCTGTTCATTCCAGGTCTCCAAGGTGAGGAGCCTCTAGTCGATAGACTAATGTAGGTAAGGGAATAGACAGTCGGAAGGTAGGTTCGTTGTCTTGAAGTCGTAGTTAAAGAATGATGACTGGCTGTCATTACAGGATCAGGAGCTGTGGCAGTAGCGCATTTGGATGGTGCTGGAACAGATGAGGGTGTTATGAACGTGATTCATAGAGTCCAGGAATTAGCCCTGGGTTATCCTGAGGGACATCTAGAATTGCAGCTCATTCGGTGGATATTCAGATAGCCATAATTATTCAGAAGGGTTGTTCCACAGTATCACTGGGTTATCCTGAGGGACATCTAGAATTGCAGCTCATTGGTGGTTTTTTCAGATAGCCATAATTATTCAGAAGGGTTGTTCCACAGTATCATGCGTAAGTCATTATTTATTTTCTTTTGGAACAGTTGCATATTTGTTCCTTACCATATAGAGTCTGCTTTAGATTTTAAAGGCAAATTGTCAGTGATCGCATTAACATATCCAAATTGAATGAAGTTCTTAACATGCATCCCGTATGAAGCTATGCAGAGATATAGAAGGCTGTATGAGGGTCACCCCAAAAATAATGCCTACCTTTTTAGGCACATTAAAATCCCTATAGAGAGCCTATTAAAATCACTGTAAATCCATCTGTATTTACATGTGTAACAACTTGAGGAAATCTAAACAGATTTTTTTTTAAAAATTTAGTATTGTGAATTTAAAAAAAATTGTTGAGCAAGTTCAGTTTTGGTTTGAAGTGAACATTGCTCATGGTCACTGTATATTTTCTAAGAAAGATGTGATTACAATTGAAATTTGTGGTTACTTATCATATTTTAAGCTAGGAGATGTGATAAAATTTTTGATTGCGAAGTGATAAGATCCAATAGGGATGATGGTGATGTTTGTGTGCATACAATGGTAAGATTGGTACAAAGTACAAATTGGTAACAACTTGGACCTGAATTATAATTAATATTAATTTTATCATAAAATAACCAGATCTCAAATAAGTAGAGTACCTGATAGTGGTCATATGAAAGTCCAATGCATTGTAAATAATTCCTCTAAAGAAATTATAAGGGTGTGTTTACAGAGAGTTGTAATATTTTTAATCACTTTTAGTTTCGATGGCATAGAACTGACACACGGACTTCTTTCTGTTTCTTTATTTCAGCATCTAAAACATAAAGAGAAGTGTTGGTAAATATCTGGTGGAAGATTTCTTCAGCAAGTAGCGTATAAATGTTACTGTTTAAAGAACATGTCAACATTGATTGCTTTTATTTATAGTTTGGTTGTTTTTCTGTCCAGATCAGTGTTGACTTTGTACCAGCCAATATATTACTTAATTCTCATGACTTTATCACTATAATTTCCTTACGTGCATAATAGTCCTTCATTTTTTTTACAGAATATGTTGAAATGGCATGAATTTGTAACAGGCCAAATGACCTAATATGAGACAGGATTATGATGATGGTGATTTGATAACAATATTTTTTTCTGTTTTGGAGTTACTAGATTTTATAAGGTCTAAATGCATTGTGAGTGCCTTTTTTACCCTAGATGGAAAACTGTGATTTCTTTTCATGTTTATGTACTTGACAGGAGGTCAGAAAGAGGGTCTCATTTTATCATTATGTACAGTGCAGCTGACTACATCATGATAGCCGCGATTGTGCGTCAAGGAGAAAAGAAGATGCAACTGACTACATCATGATAGCCACGATTGTGCGTCAAGGAGAAAAGAAGGACAGTAGAAGTTAATGTACAGAAGAAGCATTATGTTATATAGAAAATGTGAGATCATGAAGTGTTGTTAGACTTTAATGTATTCCATCATAATATACTAGCCAAAGTACCTGTTGACATGATCTGTTTTTAAAGTCACTTGACTTTTTATTTATAAAATGCAGAACCACTCTTTTCAGTAATGAAATAACAGATTTTACATAACACTGCAGAAGAAACTGGAAATACTGCATTAAAAGAATGAGGATCAGAAAAATAAAATTAATATGTCAGTTCAGTGAACGGAATTAGTGATGGTGACCCCTAAAGTGTTGGAAGCTTTCGTTGATTTTTATTTTGATGTATCCTGTAATTTGCTGACATGGTATGCCTCTAAATCATGATTTTGGTGTATCCTGTAATTTGTTTTGTTTGCTGCGGAATTAGTGATGGTGACCCCTAAAGTGTTGGAAGCTTTCGTTGATTTTTATTTTGATGTATCCTGTAATTTGCTGACATGGTATGCCTCTAAATCATGATAGATCCAAATATCTTTTTATACTTATTTTGCTAATGCAGTATTAAATAATCCACTAATCTGTTAGGCAGTCAGTCATGTTTGTAGCTCTAATGTGTGACATTCAGAAAGCCTTAATGTACTTAATTAAATGTAAGTGAAGTTGCATAATATGCAAAGCAAAAAATTTATTTAAATATTTTGGAATATCTCAAGATATTCCAAAATGTTTACCAAAAGTATGTGCTTTATCCACCTTTTGTGTAACTCAGCTTAAAAAAACATACGTGAAGGGAAGATTAACAAGAATCTATATGATAGAGCACTGTTGTCTGATATCTGATAAATAACTACCTGCCCTCTCTCCCTAGAGAGAGGCAATAAATGAGGCTGGAGCATCATGGGTTGCCTGATATGATTAATGATATTTGTAGAATGAACGTATGGGCCTGAATAGCATTACAGATTGATAGCAGCTTTCCAACATGTCAGAAATTTCATGCCAATTAATAGGCTGAAAGTTATGTTGCAGAATATCATTATTTCTCTGCACTTCCAAACCAGCAGGGTTTATCAACTTCAACAGTTTCCATTCCAAGCAGGGAAACTTGTGAATTAGAAGAGTCTGAATGTTTTTGTATTTTAGGCAGGGTTCTGATTAACACAGATACTTCCTTTCAGATAAAAGAAATTACTCACTACATGCCCAATATAGCTATGATCAAAATCACAAGTCCATATTTGGTTTCACTAGTGTGGTCTACTAGGTTATGTCCCTGAAGATAAACATGATATGTTCAAAATTATGTGAAGGAACATATTGTCTCCAATTTCAAGGTAGAATGTTGGAGTGATATATTATTCCAAAATCATACAACCATTTACAAGACTGCTCAGCATCCTAACGTAGAGGACCACAATCCACACAGTCACCACTCTGAAAACTTAAAGGCTCATACAAAAACTGCTGATTTAGCTGACTGAATTAATTGAAGAGTTAGCCCATAACAAAACTGCCTTAATAAATGTATGTTATAAATACCAAACTAAGGAATCAAAGTTTGAAGATTTCTGTCTTCTGGGTTGTTGCGCCATATGGCATATTCATCACCCTGATGACGGAGGCAGTATGACCTCTGAAACGTTGGTTAACATCGACCAGTCTACACAGCGCAAGAATCCAGAAGACAGAAATCTTCATACTCACCGCTGTGAAAACCTCAAATCTTACGAATCAAAGTTTGTATTATGTGAGGTTTAAGGTTCTCACAGTGGTGAGTATGAAGATGACTGTCTCCTGGGTTGTTGCACCATGTAACATTGTAGACATTTACCAGTGTTCCAGAGGTACTTGCTGCCTCCGTCACCAGGGTGATCATTGTGATGATAAAAGCAGCAAGCACCTCTGAAACCCTGATAAACTTCCAGCAGACTACATGGTGTAACAACCCAGAAGATAGCCATCTTTGTACTTGTATTATCTTTGTTAAACCAGCTTCTGTGAACTATGCTCAATCTTTAACTCCAATATTAGCCGTGCGTCACAGCATACTCACTGTCCAGTTGACCATTCATCAGAGTAGTGTATAAACCATTAAACCCCAGGTACAAGGTTTGAAGTTCCCTTTTCACCTACAATAAAGAATAAGTGGTTACTATTCAGACAGTTATATGTTATAATTGTTACAGATTCTTTCCATAAGCAGTTAGTAGAGATTGATTTGACGCTTGCCTGTGTGGGAGAACTGAACACTACAATTCGTGGTGGTATTCATTGGCCAATACTTTACGGAGTCGGTGAGTTGAACAGCAAACAGTCCATCTTTTTTATTGCTCATTATGTCCAGTTGCAGATAGTTAAATTACTTTCTCTTAAGCTCAGCAGCTAGCAATAGTCACTAATCTCATCAAGAAATTCCACACTTTTTATGGAACCTGATGGTTCATTACGTTGTTGCAAGAGCCTGTAATTGATCCGTGTTCTGAATCACGTGAATCCACTCCATATCCTCATGCCTTACTTTTCTGAGTTTCATTTTAATGGTATACTTACACCTACATCTTGGTCTCTCAGTGGTCTCTTCCCTTCAGATAACCAACTTATATTCTGTATGTGTTTCTCATAGCTCCCATCCATTCTACATGCCTTGCCTGTCTCATCCTACCTGATTTGGTAACCCTAATAATACTTAGTGAAGAGTACAAATTATGAAGCTCATTATTTGTGTAATTTTCTCCATCCTATTTTCTCTTCCTGAAATCCAAATGTTTTCCTTAGCTCCCTGTTCTCCTTGAAGTTGTATTTTACACTGCCATTATGTGTTTGTAGGTGTGAATGTTAAAACCGGAGAATTGTTCCCAGCAACATTTCCAGACAAGGGCCCTGATCAGGCTCTTCGTGGTGCGCGACACCTTACTGGTGGACAGCAGGTGATATAAGACTGTCGCTCTGAAGTTCCTGTCTTGTTATGTTCATCATTACATTTGTATTTTATGAAGGGAGATTAATCCTGTGATATAAAATTCCACTCAGTGAAGAAATGATTTTGATTTTGCTATAATTTATATAACAATTAAATTGACACTTCATCTATTTAAAGCAGGTTTTTGTACCCATTCTATCAGTTGTTAGATATTGTGAGATATGTTGTTATATATATTGGTGTTTTATTTTCTTTTAGATTTTGGATGTGTATGATTGTCAGCTGGGATTGTTACGAATTGGACCATTTAATTATGATCCTCTGCGAGGTGTTGACCTCTGGTTAGAGCAGACAGATGATTTCATTTTGCAGCATTTGTCCACAGCACCAGAAGTAGAGCCACCTCATTTTGTCATGCAGGTAATGATAAATTTCTCCTCTAGTAGAATGTAAACGTGTAGCTTAATTTAAAATATAGTGTATTTGAATTGCAGTGGTATAAAGCAGCGATTATGGAGCCATCCACTTAGTTTTGAAGAGAATTTCTTTTCCAATACAAGACTACATTCAGAAAATAATCAGATTATCAGAAGAAGGACAAGTGACATCACTTTGTATATCATTTGTATTTGTAATTTTTACTATTTGCACATTCAAATTGTCATATGCCATACAGTTCAATAGTGGTATTAAATTTCTCTTAATTGCTTTATAACAACATTTTAACTGTTAATAGTGTAGTTTTAAACTGTCTGAATTAGAAGACATACGTCTGTACTCACCATCACGAGAACCTCAGACTTTACATTTGATTTTGATCTAGCAGAAATGACAGGAGCATTATCAAGTGATAATAAATCAAGTTAGTGAAAGATTAAGCATTGGATATATATAGAGTAAGTAATAAAGTAAGGATTACTAGCTGGAATTAACCTTTATTTTACTGTAATAAGAGATTTGAATCCCCATGCTACAGGGCTGCCAGCCAGACTTAAACTCCAAAGGTTAATATTTGAATGATAGGCTATTGTAATATGAGGTTAGTTGGATCGAGTATGTAAGACATAACACACAGACCGTAAAGGTTAATAGCTTGTATTATGCTGACAGGTGCGGGCAACATTGAAGTACATCCAAGACCATCCATTCCCAGCTGTGACAGTGTTCCGAGATAATCGGCCACACTACTACCGGAGGGATGAAAACAGCGGAACGTGGGTTCCAATACGATATTGAAACACTAGCGTAAGAAACTGGACACTCTTGGCCAAGGTTATTACTTTTGGGAAAATAGAATGTACAGTGTATGTCCATTACCCAGAAATAATTTTCATAGCAAATAAACTTATGAGCACATAGATATTGATTGATATAAAACTGTTTTTTGATACGGTATTTAAGCTGTTAACACAATTAAAATGTGTTTAACGTGATGATATATTTGCAGTCGTGTGAAATATAAAACATGTTGAGTTACAATGTATTTCACATTTATATTTTGCAAATTGAATTAAATGCCATTTTTACAGAATATGGTGTTGTATATGATTAAGAATGAAGCCAAAATTATATGCATAGTGTAGGATATAGGGATATAATGCATAGTGAAAGTATAATTTTATCAATTTTTGTACTTAGCATTCTGATTCTAAGACAAAAATATCAAGCCTGTATCAGTGCCATTATTAAATATGTTGTATGCTCTTGTAGCCTGTCATGAAAGTATCTTATGTTAGATAAAACACACACTTGTTCCACTGCAAAAGAAAAGAGAAGTGAAAATGTGAGGACCTCATAACATGGGATACCAACATTTTTTACCCTCTAAGTTCTATACTGTATTGAAAAATATTGGAACTGCAAGTTCTCATGTAGTGAATATGGCTGTAGCAGCCCCAACCATTTTCTTGAGTATATTGTGCAACCAGGGGGCATTCATTGGTTTTTGCTGCTGTCAGTACTTTTCAAGGTACGTGATTTTGTTCCTGCTGCACTAATTGAATGAGCTTGGAACTAACGATATTTATGCCTGAGAGTGAGGTCCTTAATTGACTCCTGAAAGTAACTGCATGATCTTCAAAATTCTTATAAGCTCTAAAGTGGTGTGGGAAAATGAGATATCATTCTATTTCACTGCCCCATATGAACACCTGATGAATTTAAATGATATATTTAATAAAATTTGATTGCAGAATGCCAGGGGAAAGAGGAAAGTAGGCCTGGTTTGGGCAAGAGAAAGCAGTGGAGCCAGAAGAATGTGTGTGCAGCTGTTGTCATTAAAAGCTGTGTTCTTTTATTCCAGCAATATTAGTTTTGTTTCGCAGTACATCGCTTTTTGATGAGTTCCTTCTCACAAAACTTAGAATGTGTTTAAGTACATGTTTCTTTCATTAATTTACCTTTTCTCATGATTAACACTATCTTCTAATACAATTTGTGAAGTAGCACGGATTTCCCTCATCTTTCTTCAAGGGGTTTGTACATACATTTTTAATTTCATTAAATATTGTGGGAAAGGTATTATCAGTGCAGAATATTCTACTCTAAAGCCTTGTAGCCAGATACATTTTTCATTAGTTCATTTGGTTATCTTTCTTATTTACGAAGTTGAATCAGAGCTAGATGCCAAAAACAATATCGTATATCATATATGAACCTTGTCCTCTGTTACAGAAAGAGTTATTCATAGTTTCAGTTAAAAAGCTTTAACATGTTTGTCCTTATGCCCCATTTTATTTTTATTTGAATGTTATAGTAGAAAAGTGGTATAACATAAAAACACGAATAGCTACTTTTTAAATAAACAGTATAGTAAATCATTCCGCATTTTATTAATTACTGACAAGAAATACACACAGAAATTGTGTCATGTTTTATTAAAACAGCGGAACTTTATGCAACTTCACATTGGTAACAGTGGCCATGATATATGCAACATCAGTCAAAATGCAAGTGTTCATGAGTTTATAGTGCACGTTAACACTGTTGTTGTTTCTCAACATGACGTTGGCAGGAGGGAGTGTGATTATGAATTATGACACTCCGTCTTGCCTGACTGTCTGTGACTTACTGACCATGGAGTGAAATGTTCACTGTTATAGGGTCAGACACATACAGAAATGTATCATTTTAAAATAGTTAACACTGGACAAGTGTTTTGAAAAGGATTATATGTAATATAATAAGATACGCAAGTTTGTTGTACTCTGTTTTCACATCTAAAATGTCTTATGTCCAGAGGCTTTATGTGATTGCTTATTATGCTCATAAATTTTACATATTTGTCTCGTTAAGGATGGATTTGTGTAGCAGTCAAGACGTATGTACTTGTCTCTGTATTCTGGAAGATTACTTTATTTGAAACTTAATATTAAGCATATCATATTTGTCATTTCTGCATAAGTTAGGTGAAATATGGATGGCATTCTGCCTATGAAAAAAGACTGAGCTTTTGTATATCGTGAAGTATTCTTTAAAGATGCCGATGTAACGTCTTCCGACAGAGTACAGATTCCATCGCATACGAAGACAATAGTATGTGACATTTTGATATTCATCCGTAATTTTTATTTTATTGCGATTCAGAGCAAAATAGCACTACTGAAATTAACACTGTGATATTGTGACTGTGTACGAAACATCTTATAATTAAGAATTTTAAATATTGCGTATTAATTCGTTAGTTGTTATCCTCTGAGGTATCAGTACATTTCATTTCTAGAAAGACTGAGAAACAGTTAGTTCTAAATTATTTTTAATTTCCAATTGAAGCTGCATACTGTATCTCCAGACTGTAATGAATTTTAACTAAGTTGCGCTGTAAATACAGTAGTGTAAAAAATACATCGTGGAACATTTAGAGAAAACATTTTTATCCCTACATTTTTACATCATTTGATGTGATTGTCTAAGCAGAATTTCTCTGTGAGATTGTACAGTTCAGTGTTAATTTCGAAGCTCTGTCTTGTTGTTACCATTATCTGTTATCTGTATTTCAGATTTTTATATTTTCTAATTCTGGAATTATGCCCCAAGGGCACATCTACTTTAGATGTAGATTTCTTTATCCTCGCTGTGCAGACCAGGAACGTAAAAAGATATATAATATTGAGAGATATTATGGTCTTATATCCTACAAATTTGCCTGACAACTGTGTGTATGGCCAAGCAGTTTATAGTACCTGGAAAAGGTCAGTAAGTTTCGACCATCTCATAAGATGTTTTGTTATTCTACCTGTGAGTCAGACTTGTTAGAACTCATTTTTTTAATTTACTATATCATAAGATTCCTTTCATAGCCAAACGTAAGACTTTGGAAGTGGATGAATTTAAAGTATTGATATTTTAAAATTTAAGAAGTCCATTCTGTTGTATCAGTCGCTAAAAATTAATTTTTAGTAACCATCAGAAACAACACGCGTGTTATATTTTATTGTTAATGAAATTCGTCTCTGAGGAATCTCCGTAGTGGAGGTATTTTTGTGACGATATCAGTCGATTGTACCGAACTATGAGACTTTCATGCACCAAAATGCAGTTTTTGTAACAAAACATGATTGCTGTACATGTTGCAGCTGTGACTTTGAACTGTAGAATAGAAAAGCAAACTAAATGGATGTCTCTTCCGTCATAATTACCTGATACGTGAAAATAAAAATTGGCCACTTTTCACATCATCCTGGAAGAAGAAATTTATATACACAAACAAGTTTGAAATAGAGGTTTGTCAATACATAATCAGACTGAATTTTTACGTTTTTAATTTGGTCTGTAAGAGTGAAAGAAAGAAGAGTTCTTTACCTTCATCTTACCCTTCTTGCTTTATTGTAGCATAAGACAGTGGTATTCAACCTTTTTTGTTCGCATACCCCCAGATATAATTTCTCTTCAAATTTGTACCCTCAAAGTTGTTGGTGTATAATTCCAGTTATACATAGTACATAATCTACATCTAAAATAAATTAAATAAATAACATTACAGATTATTCAGTGTTTATCATAAAATAATATATATTTTTTTTAAATTTCACGTACCCCGTAAGATGTCCTTGCGTACCCCCGGTAGAATACCACTGGCATAAGAGGTCTGTGTTTTCAGGTATTTCAGTCAGAAAGTTGTTTCGTCCGTGGAAAAGTGTGTTTCAAGTCGCATGCAAGATACAAGTAAACTGTAGTCTAATAAAGATTGAGAAGTGACGTGACGGGCGAAGATACTGCCACGAGAGAGTATTATTCGTGGTTCCATGCGAATGAAATTGCGTTCTTTCCACCGTGGCAGTACTACAGCCTATCCAGCAGTTTCTATAATGACAATTATACAAGTTAATTAGTTCAGTGGTCCACAAGATATTTTATATTTGTTTCTTAAATTCTCTAAGGTGACTTTATTGTAGCTCATATTGGAGCTCCAAGCTATAAATACTTAAATCACAATATTTTAGATACATGAGTGTCATATATATTATATTGAAATTATAAGTCGTGTTGTTTGTGAGCAAGAGGAAAGATGTTTATTGCATGCTCATATATGAGAATTGAAAGTGTAAATGAGTATGTCAAAGCTATTTTATATTAGTTATGTTTTTTTTTATCTTGGGTATTGAAATATTTTAAGGTGATAAGTGAAGCAGGGTTGACTCGAAAGAATTTGCCCTTCCCATCAAGACGACCATTACAAAGTGTTTGCAGTTTTCATAGATTGCATCGCGTAATAGTTTGAGATGGTTGTCGAAGAAATTTGAAGCAGTTAAAAACTGGGATTGGTGCAGTCTGTGAAGAGGCCTATAAATACTTTATTTAAATTTATTATGTTTTGTCATTTATTAAAAACAGTGGATATTTTAATAATAAGTGTAGTTGTTTTTAAAGCACCATTTTGATTCCCACTTAAATCCCTGAAGGTTATATAACAAATATGAATTTTTAATATGTAACGGAACTTCGTTGTGTTACTTCACATGAACATCGATAGTCAAATAACGTGTGAAAATTATGTGGAATTTTACGAAGCTCAAGTTACTTATAATTGATTAATGAAGCGATGGATGTTTCCACTGATATTGAAGTCCATAGGGTACCTTGAATTGAAGCATTCAGACATACAAAAATGAGTTATTTTTGTAGAATTAGTGTAATTTATTGACAGCTACAAGCTGGTCTTTACACTAACTCTGTGACTGATTCTGCTTAAAATTATATTATAATTTAGGTAGAGTTTTGCAGGTGGCTGCAATGTGTGGATATTCGGGGTCCGCAGTGGCCGCGCGGTCTGAGGCGTGGGCCTTGTGCCCCTTGCTCACAGGGACCGTGGATTCGAATCCCACTCAAGCCATGGATGTTTGTCCGCGTTCTTCTATGTTGTGCTGTCCTGTGTACAGGTAGAGGCCTCGCGACGGGCCGATTCCTCATCTAAGGAGTCCTACCGAATGTCTATAGATCAAGTCAACGAAAAGTTGGGACCCGCACTTAAAGAACGGGTCATTCCCAGTATCCCAGTGTGGATATTCATTAACTTTGTAGTCATTAAGGTACAGGAACTCCCGAGATTTACGCAGCAGTGGTTATCCATTGAATTGATTAATACGCAGTGAGGTCTGTAAATGCGTTCACATGTTATTCCAGTTAGTTCTCATTTTGCAATGTGGAATAAAAACTATCCTATGGTTGGAATTCTGTTCTCGAATTACGCGTGTCCTTGCATCCCGCGATTCATTCGTGACATCCAGTATTTTGGTCACATATCACCTTTCATAAACTTGCCATGTTGGTATTTTTATGTGTTATTTGCACGTTTCCTGACTTGTCATATTGTAAAATGTGTAGTTGGTACCAGTAAAGATGGCGACGTAATAATACATAGGTTGTTAATATTAAAAACTGAAGAAAATTGTATTCAAATTATATCGAAACAAAGAAAATGTAAAAAGAGGTAAATTTAGAAGATTTTTGAAGCAGAAGGGTTCATCGTATTTCAGACATTGTTATTGTACGTCTACCATGCAAATTGTGAAATTGAGATGTCAGGTGCTCATGGAGGCGAGTATGAAGATGACTATTTTCTCGGATGTTGCGTCATGTAATATGTAGATACTGACTGATGTTTCAGACGAACCTACTGCCTTCGTCATCAGGGCTATGAGTAAGTAGATGGTATTTTGTTTATATCCAGTTTGAAGTGAGAGTGAATGGAAAATATCCCCTTTTACAAAAGAATGTTGCATTTAATAAGTTGTGTCTCTGGTTACAATAACTATATATTATATGGAAAACAAGTGTTCGATTGTAGCTACGTTATTATTCCCGATATCGTTTCACTTTGAATACGTTTTGATCATGAGTCATGAAGACCACTCAACAGGCTTATTACTAATGTAAGAATATGTTTTGAGGTCGTCGCGGTATGAGGTGAGATTTTAGTTTGAGTTGTGACATGTAATATTGTGGTTAAAGTGAAGATGGAGACAGCTAGTTTCTCCGAAACTGTTCAATCATAAGGCTACACGGCACAACTCAGAAAACCACAATGAACGTACATGTAATATGGTACTAAGTTGTTTCGTGTTGTGTAACACAAGCCAGGGCAAATAAAGCAGTTTGGTGGACGTAGGCCGACTGATAACATGTCTGTCGAGGATTTTCAACCCACTAAAGCGAATGTCCTCTGTGGAAGATTCTAAGGTGCCGATATGCTACAATATTGTATATTAGTGGATCCCAACATTTGTATGCAGTTTTGATGGCGAACGTCACGGTGCATTTCATAGTACTAATCATCTATTACTCTCTCTTTCGAAATATTCTAAGAAACTATTAGACCGAGTGCAGTGGTTTCCACGGACGAGCAGTACTTTGATGTTGCTGTGTGGTCTCTGGACAGCTGGATAATATTTTCCATTCTCACACGACTTGTCCCCAGAGAAGACTTCTTTCAAATAAGGCATATGGTAAGACCCTTCTAATTAAATCGTCTCGTCTTGAACTTTGCATTCCACTTCGATGTGTGTATGCTGGACAGTTTACGACACAAATCAGTCTAATTATATCACGAATAATTTATCGATGCCGCTTATCCGTTTCCCGTGGTGTTTTCCTCCCCTGTCCCAAGTTTGAACGGCTGTATTCACCAGTATCAATACATTTTCTCTATTTTTAAATTTATCAGCAACATGCAGAAGAACTCTAGTTGATTCTGACGATGTTCTTGTAAATGACTCCATATTACCACAGTGTTCTATAAACTTTGACTTATATCTCTTTATGTGTGTTTTTTCAGCGATGTCTGACAGGAGATATATCAGCTGCATTTTCACAAAGAACTCGGCGTTTCTGGAAAATGCCAAACAAATGTTTTAAAAGCTCAGATACGATTTAGAAGCGTAGTTCACAACGAGTCGACTGCACCGTATACATCGTGTTCTCATTGCATGCAGTGATTCAGAACTGGTTACAAGTTTCGTATATTGTCAAAATAAACAGCTACTGTTTCATTAAAAATCATAAATAGATTTTTTTAAGTTGGAGCTGAATGTTTAAATAATATTCAGACGAACTTCTTGCTTCGAAGGTGTTACAATTCGTACGCAGTTGTCCCTTTGAATTACAAAGTTTCTTATTATCCTTCATACTGACCAAAATTTTGTCAACAGTTGACAGACATTTTTCTGTGCTGAAATAAAAACCATGCACGTTTATCTTAATGTCAAATTTGAGAAATTTGTCACTGCATTTATTTTATTTCCCTTCTTTGGCTTCTTGTCCCTTTTTTTGTTGTTGAGACAATTGAACCTGGTTGGTGCGGTTTTACCACATTAATATCCTAAAAACGCTGCTCGTTGTTAACTCAATTATTAGCAAGGGAAACGTTGCAATTTGTATTTCACTGTCTGTCTGCGACATCCACCTTCGTTCCTGTTCGCCGCTTTGCTGTAATGACGATGGAC